TTTCTCACACACACAAATATGAATGACCTATTTTATAAATCAAAATATTTTCACAGAATGTTGACTATGAAAATCTTAAAAGAAGAACTGCAGGGGCTGGGGATGTGGCTCAAGCGGTAGCGCGCTCACCTGGCATGCGTGCGGCCCGGGTTCAATCCTCAGCACCACATACAAACAAAGATGTTGTGTCCGCCGAAAACTAAAAAATAAATATTAAAAGTTCTCTCTCTCTCTCTCTAAAAAAAAAAAAGATGAACTGCAACCCTTTCAAGGGACAGCTATTAGGGATAAAACATTGAAATTCTCTTCATCATTTCATTGCCTTCTAAAAATAATTATCCTCTGGCTCACCATTTTCTGCTGCAGTTCGTACCCAAGGATTTGTGTTTTCATACAGGATAAGATTAAGTTTGGATAAAACTTGGCACAATTTAGTAGGCTGCAGTGACACATGCCTTTAATCCCAAGGACTTAGGAGGCTGAAGCAAGAAGATTGCAATTTGAGACCAACCTCTGCAATTTAGTGAGGCCCTAAGGACATAATAAGACCTTGTCTCAAAATAAAAACAAAGCTGGGGATGTGGCTCAGTGCTTAAGCCACCTGGGTTCAATCCCCAGTACCAAAAAATTGGTACAATTTTTGACGCTAAAATAGAAAAGATTGAAATTCGATCATGTTTAACAAAAACTTCTGATCTACTTCAGAGCAACCAATGATTGGAATTGAGTCTTACCTTCTTTTTGGGAACTTGAAATATACACAAGAAAAAACAGGTAAATAAGTATCAGTTTTAATATAATCTTAAGTGTGTGTAGTCACAGGTATGTAATGCAAAATATTCAAACTTAAAAAGTAATATGGAGGGGCTGTGGTTGTGGCTCAGTGGTAGTGTGCTTGCCTAGCATGCATGAGGCACTGGGTTCAATTCTCAGCACCACATAAATGTAAAATAAAGATATTGTGTCCACCTAAAACTAAAAAATAAATATTTAATAACAACAATAAAAAAAAGTAATATGGAGCTGGGCATGGTGGGGCAAACCTGTAACCCCAGTGGCTCGGGAAGCTAAGGCAGGAGGATCATAAGTTCAAAGCCAGCCTCAGGGCTGGGGATGTGGCTCAAGCGGTAGCGTGCTCACCTGGCATGCGTGCGGCCCGGGTTCGATACTCAGCACCACATACAAACAAAGATGTTGTGTCCGCCGAAAACTAAACAATAAATATTAAAATAATTCTCTCTCTTAAAAAAAAAAAAAAGCCAGCCTCAGCAATGGTGAGGCACTAAGCAACTCAGTGAGACCCTGTCTCTAAATAAAATATAAAATAGGGCTGGGGATGTGGCTCAATGGTTGAGTGCCCCTGATTTCAATCCCCAGTACCAAAAAAAAAAAAAGTAATATGGAAACATTAAGAAGAAAATACTATCCGATATTCAGTTTGGCAGTTTAACTTTCAAACTTAAACATAAATTTGCCATATAATTCAGCAATTCCACTTATACATTCATACAATTCACTTATACATTTCCTAACCCCCCAAAGAAAGAAAAAATATGCCCATACAAAGATTCTTATATGAATATTTATAGCAGTATTACATAAAAGTCAAAAAGAGGAAACAGGGCTGGGGCTGTAGCTCAGTGGCAAAGCACTTGCCTAGTACATGTGAGGCACTGGGTTTGATCCTTAGTACCACATAAAAATAAATAAATAAAATAAAGGCATGCTGTCCATGTACAACTACAAAATTCTTTTTTTTTTTTTTTTTTTTTTTGGCGTGCTCGCCTGGCATGCATGCGGCCCGGGTTCAATCCTCAGCACCACACACAAAACAAAGATGTTGTGTCCGCCAAAAAGTAAACATTTAAAAAAAATTCTCTCTCTCTCTCTCTCTCTCTCTCTCTCTCTCTCTAAAAAAATTCAGATCTATTGCAAATTCCTGTTATTTAATTTTATTTATTTTTTTTTTAATTTTTTTTATTGGTTGTTCAAAACATTATAAAGCTCTTGACATATCATATTTCATACATTAGATTCAAGTTGGTTATGAACTCCCAATTTTACCCCAAATACAGATTGCAGAATCACATCGGTTACACATCCACATTTTTACATAATGCCCTATTAGTAACTGTTGTATTCTGCTACCTTTCCTATCCTCTACCATCCCCCCTCCCTCCCCTCCCATCTTCTCTCTCTACCCCATCCACTGTAATTCATATCTCTCCTTGTTTATTTTCCCATTCCCCTCACAACCTCTTATATGTAATTTTGTATAACAATGAGGGTCTCCCTCCATTACCATGCAATTTCCCTTTTCTCTCCCTTTCCATCCCACCTCATGTATCTGTTTAATGTTAATCTTTTCTTCCTGCTCTTCCTCCCTGCTCTGTTCTTAGTTGCTCTCATTATATCAAAGAAGACATTTGGTATTTGTTTTTTAGGGATTGGCTAGCTTCACTAAGCATAATCTGCTCTAGTGCCATCCATTTCCCTGCAAATTCTATGATTTTGTCATTTTTTAGTGCTGCGTAATACTCCATGGTATATAAATGCCACATTTTTTTTATCCATTCATCTATTGAAGGGCATCTGGGTTGGTTCCACAGTCTAGCAATTGTGAATTGTGCTGCTATGAACATCGATATAGCAGTATCCCTGTAGTACGCTCTTTTAAGGTCTTCAGGGAAAAGTCCAAGAAGGGCAATAGCTGGGTCAAATGGTGGTTCCATTCCCAGCTTTCCCAGGAGTCTCCATACTGTTTTCCAGATTGGCCGCACCAGTTTGCACTACATCATGGGAACAAATTTTTACTCCTCACACTTCAGATAGAGCCCTAATATCCAGAGTATACAAAGAACTCAAAAAATTAAACAATAAGAAAACAAATAACCCAATCAACAAATGGGCCAAAGACCTGAACAGACACTTCTCAGAGGAGGACATACAATCAATCAACAAGTACATGAAAAAATGCTCACCATCTCTAGCAGTCAGAGAAATGCAAATCAAAACCACCCTAAGATACCACCATCTCACTCCAGTAAGATTGGCAGCCATTATGAAGTCAAACAACAACAAGTGCTGGAGAGGATGTGGGGAAAAGGGTACTCTTGTACATTGCTGGTGGGACTACAAAATTCTTTTTTAAAGTGGAAACAATCTAAATGTCCGTCAACTGAAATGAATGAACAAAATACGTATATCAATATAAAAGAATACTATTTGACAAAAAGAAGAAATGAAACACAATATACATATTCTAAAAAACATAAGCTTCAAGAACATTTTCCTTGGTGAGAGAAGCCAGATACAAAAGACCACCTATTGTATGATTTCATTTGTCTGAAATGTCCAGAAAAGTCAAATCTAAAAAGAGAGAAAGCAGGTTTATATTTTCTTTGGGTCAGAGGCAAGAAAGAGGAGTGATTATACACAGGCATAAGGGATCTTTGGAGGATAACAAATATTCTGAAATTGGATCATGGTGATGGTTGCAAAACTCCATAAACATATAAAAAATCACATAATTGTACACTTACAACAAGAGAATTTTATGGTATGTCAAATATGCTGCTATTGAACTATTTTAAAAATATATCCAATAAGATGCAGACTGTCACAGCACAAATCTTTTTTAGATGTCTGTTGGTGAACATATGCACTTGTTTTTCTTAGGTACAAAGCTAGGAACAGAAATGCTCATTCAAAAGGAAAGCAAATATTTAACTTCAGTAGAAACTGCCTTAAATTTTGGCAAAGTGGTTAAACACATTTACACTCCCACTAACCATGTCTAAAATTTCCAGCTATTTTACTTCCTCACCAACAGTTGGTACTGTCAATTTTTAAAAAATTTAGCCATCCTGTTGGTTATGGTGAGGTATTCTGGTATGGCCTGAATTTGCATTTGCTTGGTCAAGGATGAGATTGAACACATCTTCATATATGTATTGACTACTTGGGTATCTTTTTAGGTGAAGTGCCTGTTCAAGATTTCTGTTCGTTTTAAATGTTTTCCATCTCTTTCTTGCTTTATATAAGTTCTTCACTATGGATATCTTTGTTAGACATATATATAAATTGTGGTAGGAGAATAGCTCAACAGTGAAGCACTCACCCAGCATGCACAAGGCTCTAGGGTGGATCCCCAGTCATGCCAAATGAAAAAAATGATATATGAATTACAACCAGCAGTCCCCAATCATAACCTGCATTTTCTCTTAGTGACACTTTTTGTATTCAGAGGCCCATAAGAAGTACAATGTATCAGTATTTTCTTTTAGATTTAGTGCTTTGATGTCCTAAGAACTCTTTGCTTATCTCAAAGTCATGAAGATATTCCCCTATGTTTTCTTTTGGAAAATTTATTGTAGTGCCTTTCACATTTAAGTCTTTGGAGTTTTGTTTTTGTTGTTTGTTTATTTGTATGTTGTTTTTGGTGCTGAGATCAAACCCAGGGCCTTGGGCATGCTAAGCATTTTTTCTACCCCTGAGCTATACTCCAGCCACCATAATTGAATCTTTGATCAGTAATCAAATTCATTTTTACATGTGGAATCAAGGTTTGTTTATTTTCCCATGAAGATGTCCATTTGATAAAGCACTGCTTATTGATCAAATTATTTTCCTACTGAATTGCAATGGTATCATGGCTATAAATCAGGCAGCCATATTATGTATCTCTGGACCTGCTTGTGTTCCACTGTTGTTTTAGCTTTCAGAAATGATACCATCTTAGTTATTGAACCTTTATAGTAATCTTGAGCTAGGGAGCATTTTTATACACAATTTGTTTTAGAACTTCATAGACTCTTCCAAGAGAAACAAATACCCAAGTTAACTATGTCAAGTCTTTTGTATTATCATATGTATTGTGAAGAAAATACTGCTAGAATGAAAAACCTGAATATTTTCCACAGCATCAAACCTACCAAATCTACATGATCACTTATATTAACTACAGAAACCTGTTCAGCTTCACAATGAAAACAACCTACCTGCGTAATGTAGATGGTGTCTTTAAATTGACGTAAGGGGTCTGAGCTTTGGGGCAGTGTGAAATGAAGTCCAGCCTGATACAGCATTTCATCGTTGCCATGTTGATGATGTTGTCGATGAAAGGAAAAATTGCTCTTGTAAAACCAGTCCTTTTCAGATGAGACCTTTTGAATAAAAAAGGAGAGTTACAGATTGAGAAGTTAGGGGTAAAACTGCTTCTCTGTGAGCTCCTGACAAACCTGGAAAGCACTCTACACTCTGGGAAAGTGCTTAGGCTTTGCTCTGTGACTTTAATTTCATAAATGTTTTTGTCATCATGCTTGTTATTGGGAAAAACTATCCTTGTGCAAAGTAGAATCATAAAACCAGAATTTGACACTTAAAATCTCCCTTATTCTAACCTAGAAAGTTATTTCTTGGTATCTTTCCCAAAAACACTGCCTTATCAAAACATATTTCTGGTTTTTAAAACATTAATTATGTATATTTTAGAATATTATTTCATCTACTTAGGTAAACATAATTTTATGTTATTATTTTATCAAAACAGAATAATAAACTATAATCAACAGATTTAACAGAAATTGTCACAGTCCTTAAAAAGGAATATTGTAATACCACTATTACAATTATAAACGTTTTAAATGTTTTAGAGCTTGATCTTATTACTTATTCATTCCTCAGTGATTACAAAGCAAAACTGGTAAACATGTATTGAATCTTGATAAAGACACAAACCAAACAATGACACACCTCTCCTCTAAAAATCAGAATTTTGTTAAGGCCTCTCCATAAACAGTGTGGGAACAACTAGCTACCCAAATGCAAAAAGTAAATCTAAACACCTACCTCATACACACAGAACAAAATCACTCACAACAAGTCATAGACCTAAATGCTAAAACTATAACATTTCTAGATGACAATATAGGTGTAAACCTTTGTCATTTGGATTTCTTAGCTATAATACCAAAAACTCAAGAGATTGGTAAGTAGAACTTCATTAAAATCAAAAACTTTTTGTACTTTAAGTGCTCCCATCAAGTTAGTAAAATGATAACTCACACATTGGGAGAAAATATTTACAAATCATATATCTGATTAAAGAAAATCCATAATACAAAATCTCATAATGTAATAAGAGAAAGACAAATAACTCAATTTAAAAATGAACAAAGAATGTGAATGTATATTTCTCAAAGGAAGATATACAATGAAAAGAGTCTCTCTGGGCTCGGTGGCACACGCCTGTAATCCCAGTCACTCAGAAGGCTGAGACCGGAGGATCATGAGTTCAAAGCCAGCCTCAGTAAGGGCCACTCAGTGAGACCCTGTCTCTAAATAAAATACAAAATAGGGCTGGGGATGTGGCTCAACGGTTGAGTGTCCCTGGGTTCCATCCCTAGTACCAAAAAAAAAAAAAAAAAAAAGAAAGAAAGAAAGAAAGAGATGAAACTCAACAAAATCAACATCAAAGAAATGCAAAGTTTCTGTAAATGTATATTTCCAAGAAATGTTAAAAAAATGGAAAATAACAGGTGTTGGCAAGGATGCAGAAAAATTGCAGCCCTCATATATTGTTGGTAGGGATGTAAAATGGGGCAGTCACCACAGAAAATAACTTGTTAGTTCCTCAGAATATTAAACACTGAGTTATCATATGACTCAGCAATTCTACTCATAGGTACACACCCAGTGCAATAAAAAATGGGTTGACAAAGAAACATGTGCAGAACTATTCCATGCCAGCATTATTCATAATAGCCAAAAGATGAAAATAATACAAATGTCCACTAACAGAAAAACAGGTAAGCCAAATATAGAAAATCCATAAAACAGAATACTATTCAGCAATAAAAGAGTAATGACATACCAATACATGATACAATACGGATGAACTTTGAAAACATTATGGTAAGTCAAAGAAGCCAGTCTCAAAAGACCACATATTGTTTAACTCCAATTATATTAATTGTGCAGAATAGATTAATCTATAGACATAGACAATAGATTGGTGGTGCCTAAGGCTGGGGTAGGAGAGAGAGAGGACAGTGAAGAGTGGCTGTTAATGGATTCAGGGTTGCTTTTAAATGATGAAAGTGTTCTAAAATTGGATTGTGGTAATGATTTCAGAACTCTGAACATACTGAAGACCACTTAATTGTGCACATAAAAGTAATAGGAGTTATAATCTCCAAAATGATAATTTTAAGAACTTAGCTGGTTAAGTTAAAATAAAGGTTAAAGAAAAAAGTGATTCTTTTCTTCTATTCATAATATGTAAATTGTAAAGCAAGGAATTAAATCTCAGTAAAGATCTTTTTTTAAGAGTGAAATATTTTCCTGCAAACTGAATATATGTGTTATTGCATGTATATTCAGATTATTAGTGGGCTTATCTATTGTCTTAAATATAGAAATAATCTTAACTATTATTGGTGTACACATTTATTCAGATATTTGTGATTGTAATCATTTATTAAATATTTGTCAATATAATGATAAATGTGTTCTTTTAAAAAATAGTTCATTTAAAAAAAAATTTTAAAAAAGAACAAATACAAATCTGAAACAGAATCTTTAAGAACAGAGAGCATGGAAATCCATACTGAAAATCAAATATACTTGCATGAAGAAAGAGGAGAATGAAATGGGAAAGGAGGAGAAAAAAACTTAAAACTTAATAACATTAGACCAAGATTTATTTATCACACTCACCTTTCTTACTGTAGTGAAATATCTAGTTCTGAATCTCTATAAATGTTAAAACAGCTATAGGATTAGAGAAAGAACAAGTAAGAGATACTTTCATGTGCAAGAAGAATTCAGACTTCAGCAACCACCAGTTTTCATTTAACTTTCAAATGCTCCTAAAGGAACATAATTAAAACTGATATGTAAAAACAAATCCCACCATTTTATATAATTATAATGCACCAATTAAAAATGCAGGAATATGTGAAAAATAAACAAAAAATACACAAAAATTAAGATACAGAAAAGTTATAATCTCCAAAATGATGATTATAAGAATTTAGCTATCCAAAAGTTGAAGGAAAAAAGTATTTTTCTTCCATCTTCTTCCTAAACTTTCATTTAAATAAGAAGTAGATTTCATTTGACCCTCTGAAGCACTGATCAGAAGCAACATATGTCCATAGTCTACTCTCCTGAATCACCATAAATCAAACAAATGATGGCTTACCGTCTGTAATGTACTGAAGGAAGGCCAGGACTGATATCCATACTCAGAGACGAATCTAGCTTTTGGGAAAACTTTCCAATCCCAGCAATCACTATGATAGTCATAAAAATGGACATCACCAAAATTCTTGCTGTTAGGGTCATGAGAGACCCAGCCTTCTGCAATGGACTCAGCTCCATTTGAAGGACTAGACATTATAAAAGGACGACTCTTGTCCCTCTGAGTACAGAAATAAATTGGTTTTAAGGATAATAATTTCATTTGATAAAGTACAGATCATTTATTCTTTAAAAATACTATCAAGACCCAGAAATGCCAAGTAACTGATAGAAAATTAACAGGAATGATTTACCTCCTTCCCCAACAGTACCACTCTGCTTTTCCCAACCCTCTATATCCCTTTATAATTACATTTAACCTCATCCCTCACAACAGCTCTTGCTAATCTTTTCAATCACGTTTCACCTCCACTCTTATCCAGCATAGGTAGCATATAGTTGAGCACAGAGTTTATCAACTTTGGCACTATCGACATTTGGACTGGATATGTTGTGGAGATGTATGTGGAGGTGGGGGAGGTCTCATGTATTATAGGATATAGCAGCATTTCTGGCCTCCACCCACTAGATGCCAGTAGTACCTATTCTCACCCCACCCCCAAAAAATGTCTACAGACATTGCCAAAGGCTCCCTAGGGGCAGAATCACATGCACCTAGCACCTCAGGTTAAGAACAAAATCTATTGAGTCAGACACAATTGTATTTTAATTCCAAACCAGGATCTTAGTATGTGGGGACATGTCTAATGCTCAGTACTCCTACCTATAAAATGAGGAAAATGACAAACCCTTTTCATAGAGATACTATAAAGAGTAAACGATTTATATGTGGATGAAATGACCAAGTGTCTACCAAAATTCATGTTCTCATTTCCATGATATAGAGCTGCCATTGGGAAAGGGTCTCCTAGTCTCACTGTATCTGTATGAGGCCATGCGCCTCGTCTTCATCCTTTTCCACCATTGCTGGGCAAGGGCCTAGGAGGTGGTATGACTGGAATATGGAAGAAGCTTGGATCTCTAGAAGACAGCTGCCTGCCAGTCAGGAGTAGCCCTTTTATAGCACTTGTGAGTAAAAAATGAAGTTTTCTCATGTAAGCCATTGAAATACTGTGCTGACTTGCTACAGTAGCTGGCAGGGGAGTACCTAATATGGTACCTAGCACACAGACAGAACTCAAAATGCGTAGCTACTATCGTCTCAATAGGTGAGTTCACTTTCTATTTCATTGAGAAGATTCATTCATGTAGCACCATTTGGTCAAGTGTTCATTGCGTGTGAGACATTTCTCAGGTCTGCAGAAAGAGGATTCATTTTGTCAAGTACTGATACGTCAAAGCTCTTCTGAGCTCTCTTTATGTGCCAGGCCTATAGTCCTTTGTCCTGGAGGTTCAGCAGGAACAGACATGGTGACTGGCCTCCTAGAATAATGGTCTGCAACCTAGAGTTGAAACTAGAAACTAAACAAGTAACTAATTATAAGTGTGATGAGTGTTTTGAAGGAAAGGTTCAGGGCTCTTGGGAAATCTAAAACATTGTAGAAGGTCAGTAAGGCTTCCTTGAACAACATTCAGAAAATAGTTTTCTCAATTTTTCTCCATTAGGCCACATTTTTTTGGTATATCCATTCATATTCTTTCCTTATTTGTTTTCTGACATAGAAAGAAATCTAACTACTTTTCTTTGCCAGCCTGTCTTCTGATCATTTTTCAATTTCACTTTGGTTCTGTAGCCAATAAATTATTCTCCACTCTTTTTTTTTTCTTTTTTGGTGGTGGGGGGGTGGGTACCAGCAGTTGAACTCAAGGGCACTTGACCACTGAGCCACATCCCCAGCCCTATTTTGTATTTTATTAGAGACAGAGTCTCACTGAGTTGCTTAGCGCCTCACTAAATTGCTGAGGCTGGCTTTGAACTCGTGATCCTCCTGCCTCAGCCTCCTGAGCCACTGGGATTACAGGTTTGTGCCACCATGCCCAGCTTCCACTCTTTTAAAAAAAAAAAAAAAATTCTCTTCACTGCCGTTTTCCTTCAGCTTCTTTAGGCCTCCTCTTGTCCCAATAAAAAGTTTCCTTCATCCCTTGTAGTCCCTCAGATTTCTCTACAACTCACTTATTCTTCAGCCCCTGATATTCAAGTCTTGATCATTCCACTCCACTGAAATTGTTTTCAGAAACTACCCATGAACTCCTACTCATCAAATGAAATAATCCTTTCAATCCCTAAGTAGCCCCTCTCTGGGGGGTATGAAAAGATGACCCTATCTACCTCCTGTTATTCCTGAAGCTCTCTCCACCCCTGGCTGCTCGTTCACTACTCTTTCACATCCTAGTTTCTTCCAACCTTCCGATTCTTCCTTCTCAAGCTAACCTCTCCATTCTCAGGTGGACACCGCTCTCCTTTTAACCTTTCCTTGTTCTACTCCCTCTCCCAAGGCACCTCCTCTCATCAGTGCTCTGATTACTCCCAGCTTCACCTCCACACATGACCTTGTATTCACTTCCACACTTACATTACCAATAACCAGCTCCACATCTCCACCTGCCCTGTCTGGCCAACATTTCAAATCCACCCTTTCAAACCAGAATCCCTTATTAACTAAACCAAACATTCAACTGTGCTTCCTACTTTGATTACTGGTACCCAAGTAGGACTCTCTCCTTTTCTCTTTCAATTCCTACATTCAGTCACTCTGAATAGCACCAACTCTACATTAAAATATTTTCCATTACCTAATTTCCAGTTCCCTGTCACCAGACTCTATTCCTAGGACCTCTATGACCTTGTGCATTGAATTTCTCTAACCCCTCCCCAATGTCATCATTTCTAAAATAAATATATTAGTTATATTATACAGTGCTTTTAAAAATTAAATACATAAATTATATGAAGCACTATATAATTAACATATTAATATGTAATAGCATCATCTAATGTAATTATTATAATTAGTGTATTAATGTCTGGCATATAACACATTCCCAGCAACTTGGAGTTCTCAGTTATTATAACTGATATATTCTAGGAAAACCTGGGTCGGATAAAGTTCACCCTTTCTCCCCAGATGTTCACTAGCTTGCTGTTTTCTACTGAATAAAGTTGTCCAGTATCTTAAAGTGACTCAAAGTCCTTCTATGACCTCCTTCCAGGCAGTCTTTTCTATCTTTGACTCCCCCACACAAATCCAAGACAAAACCACACGAATCTTTCTAGTGCTAGACATTGCTTCCTGTTTCCTAAACGTTCGTACCACACTTCCACATGAATCACATGTTAATTATTGTTTTAATGGCCTAAAATACCTACTGGATAGCCCTTTGCCTCAAAATTCTACTCTACCTTTAAGGTTTAGTTTGGATGTCACCTTTTACTTGAAAGCCTTCTCAGATTCTGCCAGTTAAAATCAGTGGCCCTTTCAAATAGTCTTCAGCATTTTGGAACTACATTTTTTATAGCACTTCTTTCACCTGTAAAACTGGTGGGTTTTTTGTTGTTGTTGTTTTTTCCTGTATCCTACTGACACAGTTTGATTAATCAAGCTCCATGAGATTAGGAGTATCCCCGCAGGGCTGGACTTGTGGCTCAGTGGTAGAGCACTTGCCTTGAATGTGTGAGGCACTGGGTTCGATCTTTAGCATCATATATATATATATATATAAAGGTCTATCAATAACTAAATAAATAAAATTTTTTTTAAAAAAAAGAGTATCCTCTCAGCATTGGGACTGAGGCTTTGCTCCTGGTAATAGGTATTCAGTACACATTTGTTGACTTAAAATATTATAAGGATGGTGGATGGTGAGATTATAATTCAAGTAATCTTGATTTTGATTTTTTTCTTTTCTCTTCTCTTCTCTTCTCTTCTCTTCTCTTCTCTTCTCTTCTCTTCTCTCTCTCTCTCTCTCTCTCTCTCTCTCTCTCTCTCTCTCTTTTTTTGTACCAGGAATTGAACCCAGGGGCACTTAACCACTGAATCACTTCCCCTCCCACCTTTTTATTTTTTATTTTGAGAGAGGGTCTCACTAGGTTGCTTGAGGCCTTGCTAATTTGCTGAAACTGGCCTTGAACTTGCAATCCTTCTGCCTCAGTCTCCTGAGTTGCTAGAATTACAAGCATATGAAACTCAGATTCTTGAACAATTTGATAAACAGAGCCAGTGAGTAAAATTACTAATGGGCTTCTGCCTAAAAATATCTGCTTTGATGATGTATTATAAGTTGCCCCCACTTACAAATCAGTTATTACTGAGGCATATTTTTTTCCTCCAAATTCACAGATGATCTCCCTCTAGATCATGATCTTGAATGCTTACTTAGACCACCAGATATCATAAGATAAAGAAAAAAGGCATGAACAGAATGTGTGATGTCCAAAGGAAACTAATCATTACAGTGTAAATGGGTCATTTATAGCAGTTCTTACATATCTTATGTTTGATAGAAATAAAAACAGTAATTACTATATAGCATTTAGTTCTGTCCATCTTCAAAGAAGTTTTCAGATATCAATTATGACTCACAACTCATTTTAGGATAAGTTAATCCTTGTGGGAAAGGCATTATATTTCCAATTCAGAGGTGAAGAAGAGATACACAGATGCTCACTTTTCTAAGATTAAGCAATTTCCCCAAGACAATAAGTGACCCAGACAGAATTTTGAGTATTAGTGCTTAATCACTATACTATAAGATCTATTTATTAGGGCTGGAGTTATGGCTCAGCCGTAGAGTGCTTGCCTCGCACATGTGAGGCACTAGGTTCCTCAGCACCACATAAAAATAAATAAAGATATTGTGTCCATCTTAAAAAAAAATCCACTTCTTATATCTATCAGATATGAAAAACATAATCACTGTGAGTAATAAGATTATAAAATAAATGGTCTAAAAATATCAATTAAAACTTATACCATCACATTTTGTGAATAGAAAAGTTCTTCATGACACATACTTAACATATCAAGTAAACCATAAATTTGAACCTATGTTTTTCATAAGTGCTCACTTAAGTTTCTTATTATAAATGGGATAGTACCATACTGGGCATATTAAGATGCTAATATGATATATCATTTAAAAAATATCCTTTTTCAGATTGCTTCAGGACATATTATAATTACAGATACAAAATTATAAAGGTAACCAGGTTATTGAATCACATGTTAAACATTAAAGTTTAAAAAAAATTTTTAAAAACTCTTAAAAGCATTCTTGAAAAAAATGCTGCCTCCTCCTCCCACAAAAAAGGCCAACTTCTATTAACATGCCTATTGGACAAACAGTGGTCTAAATAGAACCATCATAGAGGAAGGGCTCTACGATGAGACTGGGAACAAGATATTGCCTCTCCCTGTACCCTTAAATCACATACCAACATATTCATATATGATATATACCAAATTCTGTGTTAATATTGTGAATACAGAATTTTAGACTGGGCATGTCAATAAATCATCTAATCTAGAGATTCTAAATGTGTAGGGATCCATGGATAGACTCCAAAGAGTCGGTGACAACCAGAAATTTGTCATAGTTTTGTTTGTTTGTTTTAGGGCAGTGCCAAACTCAGGGACTCACACTCACTAGGCAAGCACACTCTACCACTGAGCTATATCCCCAACCCCAGGCACCTGCAACTTGCAAACACCCTATAGGTTACATATGAAGGGTTCCATAGACAAGTTTATCCTCAAATAAGTCTACATTCAATCCACAAATGTTTTCATATGCTTCAGAATTACAATGAAATATTCTGTATTCAAGTGATACTACTTTTTAAAATACTACTGCTTTAAAAGGGGGCATAAAATATATTATACCAATATTCAAACATTCATTTTAAAAAAATCTTCAATTCTACTGCATTATAAGCCACTACTTACTGACAAGACGATCTTTCTGATGTTTGACACATAGAGTGCCACATAGTCTTGTATGTAGACTGGTAGATCAGTTATTTTCACATTATACCAATTCATCATCAGTGCTATTTCATTTTCATTATTGCCACTCCATACGATGATAGAGGGATGAGACTTCAGTCTCCTGACCTGAAATGTAAGAAAACTTAAAAATAATCTTCCAATACTTAACATAAAAGACTCAGAGCTATAATTATTCAGAAAATTATAGCTACTGCATTTTGGCACACAAATTCTTCTGTGCCAGGGAACTCATTAGAAAATTGTCAGTCATGTTAGCTGTGGGAATACATTTTAAGAATTCTCTGAGATTCTTTGTGTCTAGATTTATTACACACTGATAAGGTAGTAATCCTTTCTCTCTGCCATACAAAAACTGAAGAAAATATAATCCTTTTTAAAAAAAAAAGAAAGCAGATAAAGAAATAGACCTGATCATTATCTGAATTGCCATGAAAAGGTTCCAAGAATCACAAAAGGCAAGAGACATTACATTACAGGGGTTAGTTCTCAGGAGCAAGCTGAAGTTTTGTATGAAGAAACAAATGAAGGAGACCAAGCACTATCACTGCAAGAGGGACAGAGGTTCCCCTGCTGCCTCTTAAAAATAACTAGAAGCGAGAACTCAGGCTACAAACACAAAGTGAGGCTGAGAAGATAGAAATGTTCATGACCCTGATTTGATCAGTATATATTGAACACATGGATTGAGATATCACACTGTGCCCCATAAATATGTACAATTATTATGTTAATAAAAATATTCTGGTTTAAGGAAATGGAAATGCTAACCACCCTGATTTGATCATTACACGCTGCATACATTCATCAAATTATCATATTGTTCCCCATAAATTTGTATAACAAAAAATAATTTTTTAAGTTAAGAAAACCAGAAAGAGAACTAGAGAAGATGATACAAAGAGAGTGAGTACTAGAGGGATTCTGGAAGTAAAAGACATGCAGGTGGAAAACAGGTTAGAGAATGTCTCCTGAAAGAGCTCTCAATGTCATGTATTAAGACATCAACTAAGGTTTAATAAGCTACTGAATATACCTAAATACAAAAGAAGATGTCAGAGAGTCTGTCTGAAAACACTGCCAGATGGGAGCAATAGGGCCAGTAGGAGCTGGGCCCACCTGGGCCAGCCCTAAGTAAAGGCAAAAGGATCCAGATCTGTTATGCTAAGGACAGACATGAGCATGCCTCTGTCTTCTGACATACTGGGCCATGTGCCCCAGCATAGGTGGGCACTTTGATGTCCTTGAAAATGGGAATGAGTCGATGGTCAAGAGAAATTCCTCAGAAATATGTTTTGACACTACTACCTTATTGATATAAAACCTTCTCTTTCACTGTGATGACCATTACCACAAGAAGCTGTGAAACTCAGATAAATGTAACAGCAGCATAGTGTATATGAAAGAGATATGCTTCATTTAAAAAAAATTAAAAGCTTTGTGTTTTCTAAAGCAACTCTGTAAACAGTACAGCATTTTCCCTTTTTGCAACAGTACATGTTGCAAAGTGAGAGCTGCTATCAACTGTGACAGGCAGATTTATGATGCTGATGAAAACACACACACACACACACACACACAAAATATCCCAAAGAGGCAAAAAGCTTCCATGACTCGGTGTCACAGACACCCTTCCACTGACTTTTATGGTAAGTCTTACCCCTAATAAATTTTAACAAGCTTTACCTAAAATGGTTCTTTCTTCAATAAAACAAAAAGAACCGAAGGTACATAGATGTTATAGCTTGTGTAACTATGATTAATATTTTAAAAGTTATTCATGCATGCATCCATCCATCCAGCTATCCATTCAATGAATAATCCTGCCAGGGAGAAGGGATATAGAGGGAAACCAACCACAGGCTTCAGGGAGATGACGATCTTATAGGGGCAACAAAACCCGGAACAAGTGTGTTTGAATCACCAAGGGCAAATGAGGGTGTCCTAATCTAGATTTAAGGATTTAGAAGGGTTTTTCCCAGAGAAAGTTATGCTCAAAGTAAGAAGGGCCCAATGAGGTGGTCCACCAGGAAAGGGAGGAGAGATGTGGTAAGACACAGAGAGGAAGAGGGAGATCGTGTTTGAAGAGGCTAGAGACATGGGCAGGGACAGAATCCCCCATGCTGAAGATCTTTAATTTTACCCTGAGAGCAACAAGAAGCCTCTGGAGGGCTCTTAGCAAGCAAAGGATGCAACATGCACTTTTTAAACCTTTAATTTAAAAATTAAACAGCCACAGAAAACAATCCTGATGTAATGAATCAGGCCATTACCCTTATAACCATTGCCCAGACCAAGCAGCAAACTCTCCCCCAGAGCCCTCCACATACCTCTTCCTAGTCATAGACCCTTCCTCCTGACAAAGTAACCTCTATCTTGAGTGTTACAGTAGTCATTTCTGTGCATTTCTTTATGGTTTTCCACCGAATACATCTGCAGATATCATCTTATAAACAAATTTTAATATATTGAATGGATTTCAATCCATTGACATTCTTATCCTTTTTGAATCTCAAATTTTCCTACTTTTGATTGGTTAGTCTCTTCAAAGTCCTTTTGACTTTGATAACTTCCTTGTTATCTGTATGTCAAGATAGACCAGGATCAAGATTCTGAGCAGGAGTGTGGTACCACTCAATGTGTGTTGGAAGGATGACCTTGGCACTTCTGCTGAGAATTCACTCACACTGGGAGAGACCCATGCTAAAGACATTAACTAGAAAACAAATGCCAATTGTAGAGAAGAAAAAAAATGAGAATTTGAACTAGTGTAGTAAGTATAAGGCTGAGAAGTTAAGTATAAATACTGTTCATTTACATATATTATGCCATTTAATCTTCAAAATGGCTTTATGAGAAGAATAAAATCATTCCAGCTTTACAGACTGCAAGATTGGGGCTCAAGCAGTAAATCAACCTCCCTACAGTGGCAGGTTGACTTTTAAAGAAGAAACCAAAACACTTATTCTTTGTATATCACCATTGCAAAAGAAAAGAAAATCTAGAAGATACTTGGACATGAGAAGCTGAAAACAGAGTCAGAAATAACCTATAGTATCTTTACCTGAAGTTACTGAAAAAATGAATGCTTCCTCCTTTGAGGAAAACAGAGCATTATAAAATCTACTCAGTATGTCTGTATAGTCTTGTAAAATCTAGAAAGTAGACGTGATATCCTGATTTAGTGATCATCTTATAAATACCAGTGGACCACTCCAGCGAATGTTTCAGTAGTATTTGGCTAACATATTATAATACATTTTATATGTATTATAATATGTTAGCCAAATATATTCACAAGTTCTTAGCTATGTGGGGAGTACAAGTTCAAGCTCTGTTCATTTGGATAAAGGGGAGTACATTATGATTCAGAATTTTCTTATATTGCCAAGAATGCCCCACTGAGTTTACATGGCAACTTAAGATCCAGGAGATAGGTAAAGTAATGTAAACTGGGTTTCAAAGCATAATCACCCCCTAAACAGATCTTCCTGCAAAAAATAAGTATATTCAGCATATACTGATCAACCTCCAATCTGTAGCTAAAATTATCAGTTGATGACATTATAATAGATAGCATTCTTTAAAAAAAAAAAAAAAAGAGAGAGATTCCAGGATAATTAGATATTTCTGCTCCAGACCTCAAATCCCCCATTTCTCTAGGAAGCTTTGCCCTATCTTTCACAGTACTGGGGATTCAACCAGAACCTTGAGTATGTTAGGTTGGTATGGAAGTGCTCTACCACTGGGCTATACCCCAGTCCAACATTAAGACATTTTCGTCTTTTTCTTCTCTTCCTCCTCTTCCTTTTTTTTTTCTTTTTTCTTTTAAGACAGGGTCTCACTGTGCTGTGGCTGTGCAACTGGCTTTGAATTCCTGGGTTCAAGCAGTCCTCCTGTTTCAACGTCCCAAGTAACTAGAACTATAGGAGCATACCATCGTGCCAGCAGCCGCCTTTCTCTCTTATAGAAAAGATTATTTCAATACAAGGATACTTGATACTACTAGGCTGGCTACTGTTTGTAGGCCTTTTCAGTGGACTGAGCTAGTATATTATCACTTCCTTGCATTTCTGTATCTATAAGTGTAAGTGTGTATATGTGGAATACAAAAGAAATCAGAGTCAATTATTTTCTATTTTTGAAATTGAATGGAGCAATTCAAAAAATGACAACATTTGTTGAGGTAGGAAAAACTGCAGAAGCAAGATTAGGGGAAGGGATATAAGTTTGGTTTGGACATGTTACATTTGAGATGCCTCTAAAACTTCCAATCAGAGGCTCAGGTAGACAGCAAAAAACTTAGCACAGGGCATAAATCTGAAAGTTGTCAGCAAATAGGCAGTGTTAAAGTCATGACTGGGTGGTCCACCTAGGGACTCGATTATCTGACTGATTTTTCACAGGATTTAATAAGGAACAACAAAATGAAATGGGGAGAGAAATTTACAAAAGGCAAAACTAAAACATAAGCATTTTCTCTTTTCTTGCAATAGTAATAACATACCTGGTGAGCAACTTCTTTTGCCACTGAATACATGAAGCTCTGTTCATTTGGATAAAGGGCACAGGCAAACATAAAATCCTGCCATACCTAGCAAATAAAAGGCAATAAAATACTTCTGTAAATTAAAGCACACAGAAAAAAAAAGTCTTCAGTTTGAACTTGGGGGGTTATCCTTCATATAAATGAGAAATCAGGTTGGCTGATGAATGTGACCATTTGAGCCCTGCTGTGCCTAAAAGCACACAGGAGAGGCTCTGGCACATCTAGGACTTTTCAGAGCTCCACAAAAGTTGTCCAAAACCTGAAAAGAGAAAATGTTAGGTAGGTAGAAAAAAAAAAAGAGAATTCAAAAGAGGAAATAATACACGTTGGGGGAAAACAAAATGAAGCTTTCCCAAAATTCTTCTAATTCCTAACTCTTTTTCATTTTCATCAAAAATTTGAGATACTCCATGGTTAAAAGAGGGATACTCTGTGATTAAAAACCAGACTTCACTTATAAAGGAATTAATGTTTGATGGCCAAGAGGATTACTACATGCCCACTTCAATATTGGAACCATGAAGACCTTTCCTCGGAAGGCTGCATGATGAAGTGGTTAAAAGCCCAACCCCCAAGCCATTTGCCTTACTCAGAACTTTGATTCTACTATACACAGGCAATTGCATTTGATCAAGGTGTATAACCTCTCCATGTGTCAGTTTCCTTATCTATAAATGGGGGTAGAGAATAATAGCAAATACCTCATTGGTTGGGTATGAAGATAGAATAAAATAATACATGCAGAGCACTTAGACCAATGCCTGGCACTCAGTGAATATTACAGAATATTGTCATCAATATCATCATCATTATTATTATGTCCTACTCTTCTATGATGTTCTGTATATCTGATAACTGTAATATTAGAACTGAAACTATATACACTTAGCCCTCCATATTTATGGATTCTATATCTAGGAATTCAGCCAACTACCAACCAAAAATGTTTTTAAAAAATCATATTTATACTGAACATGTACAGACTTTTTGTTTTTGTCTTTATTCCCTAACCAATCTAGTGTGACAACTATTTATATAGCACTCACATTGTATTTGGTATTTTAAGATCAGAGACATGTCAAAGTATATAGGAGGATGCACAGGTTATATGCAAATACTCCACTACTTTATATATGGAACCTGGAGTATTTATGGATTTTAGTATCCATAGGATTCTGGAATCAGTACCCCACAGACACCAAGGGATGATTGCATTTCCTTTGCTCTCACTCACCATTGCAAGACATGCTGACAGTACTTCCATAACAACATTAATTTTATTATTTTTTTTTAATATTTTATTTTTTAGTTGTAGTTGGACACAATACCTTTATTTCACTTGTTTATTTTTGTATGTGGTGCTGAGGATCAAACCCAGGGTCTCGCACGTGCAAGGCGAGCACTCTACGGCTGAGCCACAACCCCAGCCCTATTATTTTGCTTCTCTCTGGGACTAGTCAGTGCTCCTTAAAGTTAAATTATTTATATATTTTATTTTATTAAGCATACTTACATATGACAAAGAAAATATACATAGATACATTCATAGATATAACCAATATATACAATACTTATTATTTTAAAATAATTAGGTAATCCTGATATTTGCCATCAACAATGGCTCTGGGTTTACAAGATGTCATGTACTCCTTTGGCCAAAATGGAACATTATACCAGGCTCTGAAAAAAGAAGTAAGGCGTAATAATATCCACTCAGAACACTGGAAGACAAACTGAGGACACAGTAACCTATCAATATATAAAAATGCTATCAACTACTCACCATTATCCCTAGTTCATCACAGAGTTCATAGAACTTATCCTGCTCATAAACGCCTCCTCCCCACACCCGAAGAACATTCATGTTAGCATCCACAACAGACTGCAAAAGGAGCCGTAACCTGGAGGAGAAAGGTAGAAAGTAATTTAATTTAGATACTTTGGAATATTAAGAAAAAAATTTAAAAACATTTTTAAATCTCTGTTAGAAAAACACACCTTAAAATCGCAATGATTTGGATATAAATCTAAATAAAGAAAGTGAAGTAAATATTTACTTCTAGATAATATATAATTTACATGTAACCACATAAAGCAAACAAACTTTGAAAAATATGGACATCTTTCCTTTCTAAATATTCAGTAATGTTACACTATTTTTTAAAGCTAATTTTTGTTTTGTATTTATTCCTACAGAAAAAAATTGTGATGTAAAACTTAGAAAGTTCACTTATTTTATATTGCACACAATATATTATATTGCAAATGCCATTGCAAACAACAAAACAAAAATCAAAGCTTGAATATTATTTCCTCACTCACCCTGATCTTTTTTAAAATTCTTTCAGCCTTATACTCCTTTCTGCAGTAAATATCCTTTCTACTTTATCCAATTCTTTTTCACTCTACCCTCTGGAAAATTTAGAAATTTACAGCCAGTTGGAGAGCATGGCCCTTCCCTCCAGCCCCAGAACACCGCTCCGGAATGAATTGGAAAGCCAAAGAACAGGCTGGTCCCTTTAAACTCTGCTCTCAACATCCCCTGCAGGCTGACAAAAATTGGCCCAGTTGTGCTAAACAGAAAGGGCAAATCAGTAGGAGGAGAAGGAAAAAAATAGAGCAAATTATCCTATGCTGCATCTGGAGGAGCATTTCATTGTCTTATGAAATCTAAAATAAAACACACATTTTAAAGTAAAAGAAAATCACAATAAGTATTATAAAACTGAGGATTTAGCTACTAATGATATTTACATTCTAAACATCAAATAACATACTACAAGGCAGACTTATACATTTGTAAATATGCTGAGCTGTTATTTAACTTAAGGCAAAGAAAAAAGTGTTTATTTTCCTTTCACAAAGTTTATTTTCACTATCGCAAAGATAGTTTATACAATCAATTAGGAAATATTGTTTTCTTCTAAAGTTCTATTCTCAAACCCTTCAGAAAAACACTCCGGGTTTTTTCCTAGATGTAGATTTTTTAAGATTTTTGTTTGTTTGTTTTCTTTTCTTTTAAATAAGTTGTATTATATATTTAAGTTATACAATATGATGTTATGGGATATGTACAGATAGTAAAAAGGCTATTATGGCAAAACAAATTAACATAGCCATCATTTCACATAGTCACCCATTTTTCTTGTTTTAGCGCCAAGAGCAGCAAAAATATACTCATTTAACATGAGCCCACGAATGGTCCAATTGTATTTCCCATGGTCCACATGTTGTCCAACAAATCTCCAGACCTGTTCCTCCCACATACCTCCTGCTTTGTATCCCTGACCCATAGCTCCCCATTTCCTCCCCAACCAAGATTTAGTTCTTTTATTAAGGTAAAAGTAAAAGAATATTATGTTAGCACAAAAATAAAAGTATGGATTGCTATCTGTTAAAACCATTCTCAAAAATACTTAAGATATTATTTGAAGAACTGAAAAAAAAGTTAAATATGATAATTTTTTTTTCTGGGACTCACTACCCAAAATGTGAAGCTGCCATTTTCTTGTTTATCCAGGGTAAATATATAATAGTTTTCTAAAATTGGATGGCTAAAGTTGTCTCTATCAATAGCTCAGGAGATTGGAATATTTGATTTAAAAGTCTGCCCATTCTAAAGTTTCTATCATCCTGGAATTCTATACTACCTCTCAGTTCTTCCTGAGACCAAAAAAAATAGAAGTGAGTCACTCTTAAGCTTTTTGAGACAGTTAATAAAAAAGGAACAAGAAAAGAATGCCAATACTCACAAGTCAGAAGTTACTCTATCCTGGAAAGAATCTGGTGGGATCCAGTTGGAGCCTTTCAGAAATATGGGAAGTCCATTAATCTTAAAGTAGAAACTCAGACCACGAGATCCTTTTATGGGCTCTTCTACAAGTTCTACTGTTCTAAAATAAACCTGTCATGAACAATTAAATATTGAATATTGAATCAGACACATACACAAAATTTGTTTTTTTAAAAAAAGAAGCATGCTTCTTAAACATATTTTAATGTAATCAGATTTTAATGTAAAGTTTCCTATTTGCTACAAAGCAATTAATGTGAAAATATAAATTTCAGTAAATATATTAGTCTGTTATTTCTCTTGAAAAAGAAAAATACAGAAACAAAGAGCAAAATACATTGAGTCTTCCTCATGGAATGGGCTTTTATGATTACGTAAGAACAAAAGCAAATTTGAACATAGCATTTCATAATTAAAACAAAAATTGATGCTTTTTCACAAAAGTAGGAAAAAAGTACCATCAGTCAAACTAATACATCTTCAATTGAAAAACACATTCTCATTTCAGTGTTATTAAAATGTGCCAAAATGTGTATCTTGGAATCAAAGGGAAAAAAGCTTACGCACTTTATAATTTACAACTTTCCAATCTTAATAGCACATTACTATAAAAAATAACTTTGTTTAATGGGCAATTTCATCCTAATTATCACATTAAACTCAATGTTTGACAGAGCTCTGGTATATCAACTGGAGCTGTATGGGATACATTCATTGGAAAAAGATCTTACAGGAGCACACACTTCAGTGCTATCATTGCTACAGGAGAGGAGGAGACTTTGTTCCTCAGTCCAGTCAGATTTTCCCAGTTAGTTAAGGGCAACAAGACCTAGAAAAGCTCTGCTATTCTCATCAAAATCTTCCTTTTTAACATCCATAAACCTGATCAAGGAATGAGTGACATTGTTGTTTACCAATAAAGCCTAGCCTTGAATCAAAATTATGCACTTCTCAGGGCTGGGGTTATGGTTCAGTGGCAGAGTGCTTGCCTAGCATGTGTGAGGCACTGGGTTCAATCCTCAGCACCACATATAAATAAATAAAAAAATAAAGGTACATCAACAACTAAAATTTTTTTAAAATTTTTTTAAAAAATTATACACTTCTCAAATTAAAAAAAAACCACAAATCAGTATATTTCATGTAGTGTCAGTATCTACATTCATTCATCCTTCTACTTTCTTATCTTTGCCCTTATTTAGAAGACAAGACAAAAGAAATCAGAATTAACTTCATGAGAAGACACAGAACATGACCTGGATCAGGAGAATTTTGACATGGAATTGCCACACCTGCTTTAGAGTGGTGAAGAAGTCACCATGGTTTTTAGAGACCACTTTTTGATGGTGAGCTCAACTTTCTAGAAGAGTAGTTCTTTGAAAGTGGTCTCTTAGAACCTTTCAGGGGTCCTGGGGCTCCGAATTATTGGCACAATAAAAGTTAAAACCCTATTTGCCTTTTTCTCTCTTATTCTTTCCTGAGTGTGAGTGGAATTCCTAGGGATGATTGTTTTAGTCAACTTTTTCACTGCTGTAACCAAAAGACCTGACAAGAACAATTTTAGAGGTGTAAAAGCCTATTTGGGGCTCACAGTTACAGAGATCTCAGTCCATAGACAACCAATCTCTCCAGGAACACATATATACGCCAAAGGCACACAGCCCCAACGACCCACCTCCTCCAGCTACACCCCACCCACCTGCCTATAGTTACCACCTAGTTAATCTCTATCAGTGGATTAATGCACTAATTAGGTTAAGGTTTTCATAACCCAATCATTTCACCTCTAAATTTCTTGCATTGACTCACACAAGAGCTTTTGGGGTATACCTCATATCTAAATCACAATAATGATGTGAGATGACATCCTGACTGGCAGCTAATATATATATGTACTTTGTATATTCTGTATGCTATTTTTTGGTTTTTTCCTTTGTTTCTTTTGTGGTGCTGAGTTCTGAACCCAGGGCCTTGCACATGTTAGGCAAGCACTCTACCACTAAGCTACATTCTCAGCCCTGTGGGCTCTATTTCTAAAGCATAGGTTTGGGGTTTAAAGAAGTGCTTTTTGAAAGATTAACTCAGTTTGTTCTCAGTACTTTTACTGTGCTCTTTCTATCTCTCTTTAATTATTTCTGTTATAATCTCTGTAAAATGTCTCTAACTGTTCAACAAATCTTTATTATGAATCCCACAGTTTCCCTCGCAACCTTCACAGAAACATAAGACTGGATCCTCTTTGTTAGTTTTATTCACAGTGATATTTCTTAAGTTTTTTAAATCAAATATTAATTTTTAAATTAAAACCCATTTTAGAGTTTAATAATATTTTATCTCATTCTAAAAGAAAATTGAATATATGTTTTCCTAATGTAAGGATGAATTGTTAAAATAGGATTAGAAGGTTTAAATTCTCAACCTCTAACTGTCCTGTCTGCATCTAAAAGTGCTGAAAAACAATGAAACTGACATAAGAGAGTCTTTTGACTTGTGGGGTTGGGAGGAGAATCTATTCCAAGGAAACTGGGTAACATTATAAATAACAAATGAAATTATTATGACAGTCATCTTTCCCTCATCTTTAGAGATTTTTTTTAAAGGAACAATAAGCATTGGATAAGACAAATGAAGGAAATGACTTATAGCAGAAGCTGTAATGGCCACACATATGGACTGCCCACCCTTGGAGACTCCACAGATCTCAAAAATGCAGATGGAATTTCATCACCATAAATAAACGCTAATGGAGGGTGTAAACTATTGTTGTTGAGTTATATACTGCAAAAGTAAAATCAATATGTCATTAGCTGGGACCTGAAAACCAAGATTTAATTGTCAAGCAAGGTGAATCTGCAGGGCTAGCTCAGTGGCCACCTCAGCTCCACTCACATTGATTTTATTTTTTAGTGAAATATTACTTTTTTTATTACACATATAATATAATTTTTCATGTCTCTGGTTGCACACAGAGTCACACAATTCATGTCTTCATACATGTACTTAGGATAATGATGTTCATCTCATTATCTTTAGAGATTTTAACAAGTTACTTTATTGTGTCTTGTACAATGCACTACCTTTTTAAAAAAGAAAAAGAAATCAAATACCTTAAACTTAGACATGATAAGCTTTTTAAAAGCCAAATACTATTTGTTACATCTCTTCAAATCAGTGATGAAAAAGGCTATAGTCTCTATTATATAGAGTTCCTGGTGCTGCACTGGCTGGAGAAGTACACGTGTTGGGTTTTTGAGTGCCTCCAGGATGAAAAGTCAATGAAAAAAAACCACAGCATCACCATTTTGTAATGACACAGTAACACGTTCAATTAAAAGATCTAGCTGCAATATGAAGATTGAGTTGATATTGGAAAAATCATACTTTTGCTTTACAAAAGGGTGAACTTCCTCACATTGATGAACTTGCTATTTTGCATGTGTTTGTCTGTTATCAGACAAATAATTTATCAAAGAAGATATTTTATGTGAATTTTTAACACCAAAGTACAAGAGGTGTTGAAATACTCAGAGTACTGAATTTTTTTTTTTAAATCTCAAGGTTATAGTGCAACTTCTGTGTTAGCATTTGCACAGGCGTTAAAATGCAGAGGGTAACACTGCAGATCCCTTAGCAGAAATCAAAGCAGCAGCTCCAAACTGTGTTAGTTGTCATTATTTCCTTCACCTTCAAGCATTAGCAGAAAAAAAGTGCCAGTGTCACTTCAGATAAAGCAGCAAAAATTGTCAATCTTATTAAATATCAAGGCTGATTACACATCATTTTAATATCCTATGTGATGAAAAGAGAAATACCATGCAGGACAAACATCTTGAGGAAAAACATCTGGGCCATTTTTTGAGTAGTGAGCTCGGTCAGTCATCTCGTTATGAAACTCCATTTTTACTAGAAAAAAGGACTAACGGATGACCTATGGCTGTTCTGACATGGATTCCTGGCAGGCATTTTCTTGAAAGGGAATGAGTGAGTCTGTCACTTCAAAGAAGACAACTGGCAATATTTGTGGACAATGATAAAACTCAAACTTTCAAGCAAAAAAACAGGATTTACAAAAGCTTGTATCCATTACCCTGAGCTTGAGAGCATTTGATACTTAAAAGATTTTCCAGGTGACATCAGAGGAGATATTAACAAATATGAATGTGATTCTGGAAAATGAAATTGTTTCAACATTTGGAAGATTTATAATTTCTCAGGAAACCAACAATTTTTAAATAACCAATGTATTATATTACAGTGTCACACCATTTGAGTAAGGAATCCATTAAAACTGCAAGATAGTCCAATGGATTTTAACGTAACAGAATGAAAAGTTCATTGAAATTGCTTCAGAGTTGCAACCAACCTTTAAGAAACTATCACCTGTTGTCGGGCACAGTGGTACATGCCTATAATCCCAATGGCTCAGAAAACTGAGAGGCAGGAGGATCACAGTTTCAAAGTCAGTCTCAGCAACTTAGTAAGGCCCTAAGCAACTTAGCAAGACCCTGTCTCAAAAAAGAAAATTTAAAAAAAGGCCTGAGGATGTGGCTCAGTGATAAAGTAGCCTGAGGCCTGAGGTTTAATTTCTAGTACCAAGCACACACAAAAAAACTACCACTTGTTAAGTTCTAGTATAGTACCAAAGAATATCCACAATTATCTGAAAATACTATTAAAGCACTCTTCCTTTTTACAACTACATGTCTGTGTAAGGTCAGATTCTCTTCATGTTTCAACCAGAAGAACATATTGAAAATTGAACACAGATGCAGATAAGAATCTAGCTGCCTTTATTAAAATATTAAAGACATTTGCAAATATATAAAACAATGTCATTATTCACATCAAATTTTTGGTTTATAAATATACTTACTTTTCATAAAATAAGTCAGATAAACTCACATCTCATGACTTATTGTGGTGATTTTAGATGAATAAGTAAATATTTAATTCTAAGTATAAATATTTACTATGGTAATACATAGAGCCCAAAGAAACATCAGCACATTAGGGTGCTCAATACTTTTTGTGGAGGCGGGAGGAGTAATGGGGAGAACCCAGGGCCATTTATCACCAAGTCACATCCCCAGTACTTCTAATTGTATTTTATT